GAACAATGAAGATAAAATCATGTGCCTTTCAAGGCCTGAACATTGTCTAAGAAAAAAGATTCTCACCGTGAAATTGTCGATAGAATTTTGATTAGAAACAAAACTTGTCTTATTAAAGCCCAGTCTATCCGATGATCTAGCTAATCAAACCGTGAAATGCGATCTTGAATACTTTGTTGACAAGTCCGATCTAAATAGATGTGTCTTCCTATGGATGCATCGATGCGATCTCCTACAAAGGCCGCCACGTGGAATATCGAGATAGTCTCCGGTCTTAGCCATCGGTACAATAACTAACTCCTTGTTGACATATTAGAATTATACATTTTTATGAGATTTCAAATGAAGTCACATAACTTGATATTTGACTTTACTAGTAGTATAAAATTAGTCTTTTATATATTTACGATCAAATATTTCCATGTTTTGCAATGTGAGAAAAACAATATCAAGGGTTTGCTTTAATTTGAAACAAACTTAACAGGCCACAAGCAATTTTTTCTCTTGTTGCAGCCTACAGACATGTTTACTATCTTTAAAAACTCTAGATCCACAGCATGGCCGGACACAAGCGCACACACACAAAAAAAGGAACCATAATGCATTGTACTAGCTCTTTTACATATCGGTTTAACGCGTCCATTGGATATGACAAGATGATACGATGTGCCGACCGTATCCTTAATAGAGACATTTTCACCTTACACCTTGCACGAACTAACTGTACGGTTCTCTTCCTTCAAATTTATAAGGTTTTGGTCAGGTACGCGCTGCGTGGTTTTATGTCCCCTGGAGAGGGGATTAACGAGTCGAGGGTGCTGGTCAAAGGTCATGTTGTGTGATTATGACAAGGATATAAGCAGGTACGGGCAGGGGGATAAAATATGCGCCAGTGGACGACCGAGTTGGTACACGCGCTGTTGCTGTCCAGAGAGACATGGGACCTCGCCGTGCCCCAATGTCAAACAAGCACGATCCCGTTGGGGGACATGCATGTGTAGTGTAATCCTTCCATATCAAAAAAGTCCCATCTCCCATCAACGTGCCCGGGCTGCGAGAATATCTCCCCGGATGGGCCACGTATTTGGACTTCGGGGGCGCCACATGGGCCGTGCCGACATTCGTGGCGCACCGCTGTCGGGAAAGGAGTACTCCACTCCTATTGGATGGGCCCTTTTACGTACGAGCACAACACGGAAGGGTACACGCGTACAGTACCGCAACATGTGGATGGGCGTAGGTGTAGCCCGTAGCCGTGTACTAGGTAGCTAGCTAGGCTTTGCCGGGTGCCGCGGCCTACCCCATGAGATGAAAACGGACGGGCGAGGGCGCTGCGGACCGGCTTTCCGGCGACACGAGACCTGCCTGAAGATCGCCTGTTTGGTTCGTTCCTTTTATTTAGGGCCTTAGTTTCCAAAATTTTTGCAGCATGCTCATCGAATCTTACGGACGGACGTAGCGAAAAAAAAACTAATTACTGCGGACCGGCTCGCGGCGGCTTTCGAACCTAATTAGTCCATAATTAGACACTAATTGATAAATACAAACGAAAGTGCTACAGTAGCTAAAACCCAAAATTTTTTGCATCTAAACACGCCCTTATTATATTACGAGCCAAAAGAGGTCAGAGACTCAGAGGAGGGTAGGCCTCCGTGTCGTAGTTGCGTTTCACGACCAGAGCTAGTCCAGAGATTCGTGCGGCCAGAGGGACTATAGAGTCAGTCACTCTTGTTGCGTGCCTCGGCCTCTTTTTTTTTGTTTTTTTTTTTTTTTGTTTTTGTGAATGCGTGCCTCGGCCTCTTTGTACGTACAGTACTTCGATAGTTCGATCAGCATTCAACTGCACAAAGAGAGATCGTGGAGACGTGGACGCTGGATTTAGGCTAACTAATCTGATAATCCGTGCTTTTTACATAGATAGAATAAGCAGTAAAATATTTGAAGCTCTGGACTATATAACAAACTCACTTGTCTTTGAGTACGTAGTGACATAGTTGGGTAATTTAAGTGAGATTTAGGGGGAGTCACTTTATGTTGGCTTTCGTATTAACAAAGGTGGGTGATTTTTTAGAAAACATATTAGATATGATGTGTATTATTAGTGCTGGTGATTAGAATCTACTGAATTCATGGCTAGATCTTTCTGATGTTTTGTGAGAAGTTCCAGTATTTATCCACTTTTAGTGTGTTTTCATGAGAATTAACATGGAGCCTCCAATAAAGATGTGAGCATATCAATATTTTATGTTGAAAATGGTATAGTACAATCTTGTACTCACCCACACCCTCACCCTCACCCTTACCCATGGGCACGCAAACCCACAGGTAGGACAACCAATCCTACGTATATTGCCACAACTAAACTAGCCATATGTCGATGCTGTAGCATGACTAGTTTGTGGCAAAAAAATGCGTTATTTGGTGGTTACCCTTGTTTAATCAAGTCATGGAAAATTGATAAGGTTGCGGATTGGATATGCCTTCTTCTTGAATCTAAGAAAATTAACATGATTGGATTCATGCGCATGTGAGTTTACTATGTATAAATAAGAGCAAGTGCAGGGTTATCTTATATATTTTTGGAAGTAGCCCAACATTTTTATGATTTAATTAAGGAATGTGATTTTTAGAAATTATACAAAAGTTCCATTCACCCAAAGAAACAATGCATGGAAAAACCAATATTTTTTCTTGCAATTATGCGTCATGATTCATAGAAAAAACACATTAAAAGGCGCTAGAATACAAATATGTAACATATATACATAAATAGAGAATGAATAATTCAAATGTATAAAAATAGAAGGGCTTCACTATCTAAATTCCAACACACGAATTTTGCTAAACATTCCACATGTACAAAAATAGAAGGGTTCCACTATCTAATTCAAGTTTTGTGCAATTTTCAACATGCACCATGTTTTCTAAATTTCAGGGCTGCTGTGTATTTTTGGAAATCTAGGCACTTAAGTAGAAAAAGTACTGTATTTATAAAGGACAATGCCTATTTTCCCTAAAACACGATGGAATAACACGTTGCCAATTGCCATTCAACTACATCCAGGGTGGGCCTTCAGCAAATTTATGGGCCCTTTTTAGTTTAGTTTCCACTTTTATTTGTTGACCTGGCCCAATCTACTTACTGAGCTTGGTCATTTGTCTGGCCCGTTATCCCGTTTCGGCCAGGATAATTTCCGGGCACATGTGTTGACTCCTCGCCCACTTCTCTCGTGGCCGTGTTGCATTTCTTGCTAACTTGCTTGCTCGCAATCAGCTCCTGGACCAAGGCCCCAACTTTTGAGCTAGGTTTTGAAATGCGAGTAAATGAACTAAAAGTTGAAAAATATGTTCTGATTTTTTTTCTAACTTTTGATATGCTAAAAAGCTCAAAATTTAGTACAAAGATCAATAACAAAAACAACCAAAAGTCAAAAGTTAGAAAGATAATTTTTGAGCCAAAAGACAGAAAACCCGCTTTTGAGCGAAAAGCCCAATGACTTAAAAAAAGGCCCTAAGGGTTGTTTGTTTGAGCTATAACTTTTGGGCTTTTGTCTTGAAAGGTGGCTTCCTGGATTTTGGTTTTCTAGCTGTTGTTTTTTGCATTTAGCTTTCGTAATAAACTTTGAGCTTCTTAGCACATCAAAAGCCAAAAAAGCCTCAAAACATGATTTTTAGCTTTTAGTACATTTTCCCAGAAGCCACCTATTTAGCTTTTCATAAGCTAGCTTAACTACTAGACAATTTGTTTCACGTTTCAGCTTTTTGTCGGCAAAAGCTAGTAAAAATATCAGAACAAACATGCCTTAAATAAGTCAAGTATATCACAGACTAACAACATACTCAATAATATTTAGGCTTGATATTATGCTATACGTATAAATTAAAATCTAAAATTGATGCATACTATGTATTATTTTTATTTAGCCTAATGTTTACTTGGAACTTACTAGTAGACATTGATTTATGTATTGTTGAAACTATTAATAAGCTGGTTCACGAGCTACGCGAGCTAGCTTGTTAGCCTAAGGAACCATCTTGAGTTCATTCCGCAACTCTAGTCTCTAGATAGCGTGCATAAGAACGGAAAGAGACTTATGATTTGTGAAGCGGTGACGTTTGATTTTACGAATGTGTTTGGTAGGGATCCAGATTTTCATACAAAATGTTTTGGAATATTCTCTCAAGAATTGTTTTAGACAAGAAAGAATCATTTCATATGATCATTTGTATGGCAGGCTGGATTTTGATTCACAGAAAAATGCTTTTCATAAAGTGCATATAAATAAAAAAAATTCTTAAAAAACCAGAACATTTTGTGGGCATAAAGCAACTTAAATACAACCTATTTTAACTTACTATACTTAAAAATGATTAATTAGAAAATACATAGCAAAAGCACACATGAGGTTGCACACGAATCATGCGAAACTACACCGATGCTGTCTTAGTCCTTTAAGAAAATCCTAGAATCACTAAAAATGTTTCAACTCGAATGGCTAGGCTACAATACCGCTTGGAAGCATTTCATGTGAGAAATCGGATTCATTTTTCTCATCCAAACCAAGCCTGCCATTTATCACAATCTATATAATAAAAAAACTACTAGATATCTGTAGGTGTTTGATGACCGGCAACCCGTCACGGGGGTACCCGAGACGGTGTTCGAAGGGCTTTGACATACGCAGAACTCGACAGTAAACGCAAGAGACGAACGGTTTATACTGGTTCGGGCCCTCTTGTCGAGTAATAGCCTTTACGTCCGGTTGGCGTGTAGCCTTTTGCGTTGAATTGATTATATGATTGTATGATTGTTAGCATTTATCACAGGGGGAGGGCTGACTGCAGGTTCTATTTGCCAGGGAGAAACCCTTTCAGGACGTGGAATGGAGGAAGCTTCATCCCACCTCACCTGGATATCAAGAAAGCACATCACAACAACGTTCACGAAACAAGTCATTGATAAGGGGTAATACCTTGAGGTAACGCCATTTAGATTCAGCCTATCCAGCTTGTTCAGGATCCACATTTCCGACAATCGTCCCAGTGAACCTAATTGTACAGAAATATAATGTTTCAGGTCAATTTTAATAGAGGAATCAACTATGTGAAGCAGAAAATATCTACTATTGCACCAGAAAATTGCTTACCTTTGCTCTGGAGCCTCTTCACCTTCAAACCTCATTTTAAATCTCATCCCTATAGGGTAATTTCGTTTCAGTGATTCCACATAGCGATCACAGGGGACAACAAACTCAGCTGGACTTGTCCTGAGAACAGTAATTCAGAAGACAATTGTATTAAATGAAAGCACTGCAGATTAGATCAGAAATAAAATAGCACAAGGCTTGTTTAGCACAAACCTAGGTTTGTAGCACACAGTGAACATGATCCCAGTGTTAACAGCATGCCATGCTGTAGCAAGAACACCAAGATGCATGCTGTGGCTTGATATTACTGAAGACGGAACATTTGCTTGCTGCCTCATGGCACGCCTGACTCCTACACGCAGCTCCCCATTGTCACCTCTGCACGCATCATTCATGAACATACTTATTATGCAGTTGGGGGGTGGGGGGGCGGTTATACCCAGCAACAAGTCTGATCAAAAGCCTCATAGCAAAAGTTAATCATTGTCACAAAAACATACCTTAGAAAGATGAAGGCATCCCCAGCGACAAGACGCTTGGCACTAACAAAAACACTCCAGCCACTCTGCAAAAGATGCCTTCGTGGTTGTCCTAAAGTAACAGAAACATACATGAAATTACTTCAACAAGGATCCAACAACTCCATTCTAACAATCTGCTGTCAAACATGAACTGAGCACAAAATTTATTAGTTGGCTCAACTAACATGTCAAAAAGATATGTGATAATAATTACTTGTCCTATACAAAACTAAAGTGTGTAAGATGATGCATTGACCGACAAAACTAAATGGTTATCCTGGCATCATCAAATGCACGCCCATGGAAAGAAACCAAGGCCCTATTTAGTTCCAAAAAATTTTCACCCCAAAATGTCACATCGAATCTTGCGGCACATGCATGGAATATTAAATGTTGACGAAAAACAAAACTAATTGCACAGTTGGGTGAGAAATCGCGAGACGAAACTTTCGAACCTAATTAGTCCATAATTAGACACTAATTACCAAATACAAACGAAAATGCTACAGTAGCCAAAACAAAAAATTTTCGCCAACTAAACGCGCCCCAAAATACACACGATGGAAACACAATTTGGTCCCCCTCAATGAAACCAGTGAGGTAAGATAATGCATACACATTGTACCTGGAAGCACATTTAAACCAATTTAAGATCAAGTTAAGGAGTCATTAATGCACACAAGAACTCTTTATACACTGTACAAACAAACAGAAACTGGCACCATGTCTGCAACTCTTGCATACTGGTGCAAATGAGCAAAGAGGACTACAAGTCCTTGGAATATGGTCAAATAACAAAAATGTTGAACGATCACCTCTGAATATGTGGCGAAAGCGCCATTCCACACCATGCAGATCCTTGGGCACAAGCTCTTGTGTTGGAGGTTGACGGGTCATATCCTAACTATGAAGCCAAAGCAAAGATTTTTCGAGCCTATGGTACGTTCGGCGCAAACCGTGCACTAGGAGTAAACGCAATTGACGAACGGTTTATACTGGTTCGGGCCCTCTTGTCGAGTAATAGCCTTTACTTCCGGTCAGCGTGTAGCCTTTTGCGTTGGATTGATTGTATGATTATTAGGGTTACAGGGGGTGCACCGTACCTCTCTTTATATAGGGGAGAGGGTAAGAGCACGTATCTAGTCCTAGCCGGTTACAAGAGAAAAGTCCTAGTCCTATTACAGAAACTGACTTTCATAGTAAGCCAACTAAGTCAATCTGGAATAGCTTGAAGTTCATGCCACTTTGTCTCGTGTCCTTCAACAAATTGTGGGCCGGCCTAGGGCCCGTCCGGGTAGTACCCCTATAGGGAACCCCTAGGACCCCGGTCCGTCAAGCCTCCGAGTGTGTCATGGTTGAACTCGGAAGTCTTCTTGTTCCTCCTGGTCTTACCGGGTATAAACAAGCGTAGTCCGGGTATTTTCATGAGTGAAGCCATGAGGTGCTCTTGTAAAAACCTCCGGGTGACGTGCGCTTTCTAGAAAAAGCACACTCACTTAGTGTAGCCCCGAGCCTCTTGCTATTTGCAAAACAAAGAGTTAAAGGGTCTAAAAGAAAAAACATCCATAGAGGATATGTACCTGCAGCCCCGAGCCTGTGTCCGAGTACTTGTACTTGAGGCAAGGATCTGAAAAGAATATACTCGAGGATGCCAGTCTAACTTATTGCCCTGTATGCTTGTAAAGAAGCAGGTAGGACCTAGGGAAGTCACATGCAAAGTTTCAGTACTGTAGTTCTCGAGATGCTCAGTATATTTGTGAGAATTTGTCATGAAGGATGGGACCGGGTGTACTGTAACCTCACATGCGCTTGTAAAAAGGTTGCCAGTACACTGAAAAGGTGCAGTGTTATACACTGTACCCCTGAAGTGTAGCACGTGAACCTAAGTAAAAGTCAGTAGCTTGTCCGTGTATTCCGCATGAACCTGGTCCATAGACACCATGAGAAACGCCTATAAAAACTCTTCTGGCGAGCACTTGAACCTCAATTGTAAAAGAGGCAAAGTGTTGCAAAGTGTGGAGCTTGCAAATATGATGTTGAGTGAAGTAGACCAGCCCCCGGGATTACTCGGTTGGAATAGCCAAAAGCTGTAGTGACTAGAAGAATTCTTGTGAGGGGGTTTAGTAGTAGGCTAAACCCGTAGTTGTGCACAGTAGACTAGTCTCGATCTGCAACTAGAAGAATTCTTGTGACGGCTGGAAGAGTGTCACACTCCATAGTCCCATGTCAGTTCTTCTAGAGTGCCTGTCGACGTATGTCCATGAAGGGTCATACCTAGGCCCGAATGTACACAGATGGCGTCGGCTAGGTGGCAAGATGTGCGAGTAGCTCGTCGTTCATGCCGGCCAGCAGGTATCTTCTTGCAGGAGCTAAGCTCCCAAGGGTAGGCGACCAACAAATGTTCATAGCCGGACAGCCTACCCAAGGTTCTAGGCTAGGACACACTGCACTTCTATAATCTACCCAGATGTGTCACGCTTGTCTTGTAGCCAGGTGCATCGGGTAGAAAAGTACCTACTGAGAAGCACTTAGAGTATGAGTACTCTATTATGTCCGGGTCGGTGTTGTCTTTGTAGTTGACCGAAAAGACTGTGTACTGAGTAGTCTGGGATCTTGTAAAGGTGTAACTTTGTAGTCACAGAACTATTGTTGAATAAAAACTTTTATCCGAGTGCTGCTCTGTTTGGTGCAAACTATTATTCGGATGTCCGGGTAACACAAAACTATCCGGGTACCTTTTGTTATCCGGGTACTTCTTGATGTGACCATGTAGATGACGGTTGAATCAAGGCCAGTACCCGGGCAATGAAAGTCCAACGGATAAATCTGAGCGCATTATGACCCATTAGAAATCATGAAAAGGCGTGCAATCCATCAAATCAAACTACGCAATGCCATTTAAGTGGAAAGAAACCAAAGTGCCACACCCGGCGGTGTGATTAGCGGCGACGTGGGTAGTCGGTACCCTTTATAAAAGGCAACCGTCGCCGACGTCATCTTCCATTCGTATCTGCCTTCAGCCTCAGCCGCCAATCCTGCTCAAGCGCTGTCCGCCGCAAACCCTAGGTCTCATGAGGGAGCCACAATGGATGGGCAGAGGCAAGAACCCGAGCACCATCGAGAAGAAGATAGCCGAGAAGCGTGCATTGGAGGTGCCAGAGATGGCCGCCACCACATAGATCTGGCCGACCCCCGTCACGAAGCCGCGACATCTCCAACGACTCCACAACCAGGGCTACCTGCCGGATCAGAAGCTGGGGGAGTGGAAATCACCCGGTGAGCACCGCATCCCCAATCTTGAAATCAGCGAAATTGTGCTTTTTGTTCCCTTCATCGAGCACGGGTTAGGGTTGCCTGCATGTCCTTTCTTACATGGGTTTTTGCATTATTATGGCATAACCCTGAACCACCTCAACCCCAATTCTATCTTGCATTTGTCTATTTTCGTTCATCTTTGCGAAACCTTCCTTGGCATTCCCCTTCCATCACCCTGTTTTGCTATTTCTTCAAACTGAAACCGCACCCGGACGCCACAAACCCTAGCGTGCTGGGTGGAGCGGGTATTCAGTTTCGGGCGGGTAGGAAGAAGGACTACCCCCACTATACCCTTGTCGAGTTCGTGAAGAACTGGAGGGTCGAGTGGTTTTATGCGGGTAACATGTACCTGCCGTTGGGTACACACAACAACGACGCGTTGATACCCAACGTGCGCTGGGACAAGGAGCCCATGAGCGCAGCCGAGCTTGAGGGAATCCAACCATTCCTTAAGCAGCTCTCGGTCATGAGGGACCAAGGCCTGAACGGAGTCAGAATAGTAGCCAGCTTCATCAGGCGCTGGGTGCAGCCTCTGCAAGAGAGGGTGCACTATGGCTTTGAGTATGTTGGGTCGTAGGATCTAGCCCGGGTGACGACCGATGAATTGTCTAAAGAAGAAGTCCTAGAGCGGATCTAGAATGTGCTCCAGGTGGTATTGGTGATCCCGTATCGGTACCCGGAGCTAAGCCACGATAACCCGCCCCCAGCTGTAAGTAGTTTGAAAGCTTCTTTTTATTCTGTAGTCTATTGAAGTTGTGGACGCTAACTTCTTTATTTTTGTTTACTACTGGAGCAGCACTTGGGGCGCAACTTCGATGACCTACCCGCCCTACCTCCGCGTCTAGGGTTTGGAGGAGTTGGCGGAAGCGGGGCCGGGTCTGGCGGAGCGGGCGGAGGGAGTGCTGCCTCCGCTATCCTTGTGGCGGGAGAGGGCGACAGTGACTTGGGAAACCTGGATGATTTCATAGTCCGGGTTAACCCGAGTGCTGGGGATGCAGCCACTCGAGGGAAGCGGGTCCCTAGAGGCCAATGCTGCTGCCAGCGACAATGGGAGGCCTAGCAGGTACTTGGCAGACTAGAAAAGTGCGTTAAGCTTGACTTCTTTGGCACTATCGATTTGTAGCCGCCGGGTTTCATCTACTTTGCCTTCAATGTACTATTTGACCCTAGGAGAGTTCCATATCAGATCTGCTGGTAAGATGGCCTCCGAGCCATAAACCAGAAAAAGGGAGAGTACCCTGTTGCTCTGCTTTGCTAGGTGTGCAATCCCCAGACTACCTTGGGTAACTCATAAATCCACTTGCCGCCAAAGTCTTTGAGCTCATCGTATAGCTTGGGCTTGAGTCTGGCTAGGAGTAGCCCATTGGCCCGCTCTACTTGGCCGTTTGCTTGAGGATGAGCTACTAAAGCGTAGTCGACACTGATGCCGCAATCCTGAGCCCAACTTCTGAACTCAATAGCTTTGAAGGGTGAGCCAAGATCTGTAATGATCCGATTGGGCATACCGAACCGGCACATGATGTCTTGCATGAACTCGACAGCCCTTGTGGCATTGAATTTGACGAGTGGCTTGTACTCTATCCACTTAATAAACTTGTCAATAGCCACGTAGATGTACTCAAAACCACCCGGTGCACGTTTGAGAGGTCCAACCATGTTGAACCCCCAGCATGAAAAATGTCATGATGGAGGGATGCAGATAAGGTTGTGGGCTGGGACGTGAGCCTGCTTGGCAAAAAACTGATAGCCCTTGCAGCATCGTACGAGTTCTTCTGCATCTTTGAGTGCTGTAGGCCAATAGTACCCGATCTGAAAGCCTTGCCAACTAAAGTCCTAGAGGCTACATGATTCCCACAGCACCCGGAATGGATTTCTTCCAAGATCTACTTCCCTTCTTCAGGTATGATACATTTAAGGAGAACACCAGATGATGTGCCCCGTCAGTAGAGTCTATCTTCGACTAAGACGTAGTTCTTGCTTCTACGAGTGATCTGTTCTGCTTCCACCTTATTGTCGAGCAATTTGTGATCTCGGATGTAGTCAATGAATACTTGGGTCCATGTCGGGTTAACCACTAGTACCTGGACATCAGGAGTCAGAGTACTGGCGGGTGTGGAGGTTTCTTGTTTGATTGAAGGGACTTGGAGTTCCTGTACAAACACATTAGGCGGTACTTGGGCCCTGTCTGATCCCAATTTAGCTAAGACATCAGCTACAACATTGAGATCTCGCATGACATGGAGGATTTCTAGGCCTTGGAAGTGTTTCTCAAGTTTGCGGACTTCTGCGCAGTAGATGTCCATGGTTTCCTTGCTGCAGTCCTAATCTTTGTTTACCTGGTTGATGATGACCGAGGAGTCACCATATATGAGTAAGCGCTTGATGCCAAGTGAAATTGCTACTCGGAGGCCGTGAAGGAGGGCCTCATACTCAGCTTCGTTATTGGTACCAGGCCAAAGTATTTGTAGCACATACTTAAGCTGCTTTCCTTCTAGAGATATAAAGAGAACACCAACGCCTGCGCCTCCTAGCTCGAGAGAACCGTCGAAATACATCTTCCAATGGTCGAGTATAACTATTGG